ATGCGGCATTGGATTTGTGGTCCTTGGGGATCACTTTGTTGGAGATCGCGATGCTTGAGCACCCGCTGTTGCCGTTCCTGGGGGATGGCCGCGAAGCGGAAGTTGCGTTTATCCGTTGGCTTGCAACGCTGCAGGAGGTGCCGCTCGAAAGTCTGGAACGTTCATACCCTGGCATGGATAAGATGCTTGCGCCACTGGTTTGTTGCGACCACCGCATGCGAGGCTCTGCTGTGGACAGCCTTGTTCACCCATGGTTCGGCTGAGCAAAAGGGAGGTTCCGTCAACACATGCGGTTTTAGAGAGGCGTGTAGCAATTCTGCAGCGAAACTCTCAAGTTGAAAGGTTTGAGTTTACACACTTCGAGCATATTGTGCTGAGACGTGCTGAGGTTCGTCGAGTTTTGTGCACGAGGTTTTTGGATTTGCGATCGTTTAGTTGCTGCACCCCTACACCCGAAGCATGCGCACAACAGCTGTCACCAAGAAGTTTCTCCGAAGGCCCAAAATCTCGCCACATGTCTTTGAGCAGCCACCGCGTTTTGCGAGCACAGGGTATATCCTTTGCTGCAAGCCAGTCGGCTGAAAGATCCATGCATCTCGATTAGCCCATCGGTTTATCCAACAAAGACTATGCCTTCAACAAATATTCAGGCCAGCCGAGTGCCGGCCTCCGAAATCACGTTCAATGCGGCCATCACCGCCTGCGAGCGCGGCGGAGAGTGGCAGCAGGAACCTCGCTTGCCAGAAGCCGTAGTTGACAATTGAGTTCCGGGACTCGAGCTTTCTTAACTGAGGAGGGTAAGTTAACATTGTGCCGTTTTGGAGGGTGTGAGCTTGCTGACAGGATGCGGTTTGCATCGGGACCAACCCGGCCCCGAAACTGTCATCGACCCCTCGAATGGCTGCGAAATGGCACTCAGGCTAAGTTTCAGTTAACAGCTAGTGAGTTCATCGCTTTTGAAACTTTTCAAGATCTGAGAGTATTAGAGTACGAGTGGCAGCAGGAGGAGGAGGAGTCGTTGTTGTATCGTCGTGGTAGTCGTGGTCGTGTTGGTGGCAAGAGTTTAAGCTGAATTGGCGTTTTGGTCGCCGTCGTCGTCGACGACGACACCGTCGTCGTCGTCGTCGTCGTCGTCTTGGTTGTCGTTACGCGAGCTGACAGGCGCTGGCGGCTTTTGCGGCTCTCCGGGTGGAGGTACCTCCATCGGACAGTTTGCAGGTCGACAGGTTTTTGAGCGAAGGGTTCGGGTGCGAGTCCCTCACTCCGAAATCTGGAAAGGGCTGAGCCTGAAGGTTCCCTGCTGAGCCTCAGACAGAGCAACAGAGCCAGACCAACCGCCGCAGTTACAATGAAAGCTCTCTGGGTGATTTGAAGAGGCCCTGCAGCCCACGTCGATTACCTACAGCGCGGCCATCAGTGCTTGCGAGGTTTCTGGGCGGCCGGAGAGAGTTCTTGAACCCTGGGGCTGGTCCGCTAGGCCGCTAGCTGTGGTCCTGAGGAATTCGGGATGTGGGAGCATACGTAGGTTTTGAGGCCGGGTTAGGGGCATCTGTGAAAAGCCGTGTTGTACATCAGCCACACCATCTGCAATGATACCCGTAAAGTAGAAAAGCGAATAGTGCAAACATCTGTTTTCTGACAGGAATCACCCTCCTCCTCCTCCCTCCTCCTCCTCCTCCTCCTCCTTCCTCTTCCTCGTCATCATCATCATCATCATCGCCGCCACCAGCCTCATCATCACTATAATCTTTGCACCATCATGGTCATCGCCTTCATCACCCTCACTGCCACGACCATCGCCATCATCGCCGTCATCATCATCACCATCATCATCATCAGCATCAGCATCAGCATCAGCATCAGCATCAGCATCAGCATCAGCATCATCATCAGCATCAGCATCTTTAGCAGTAAGGCTTTTGTGGTCTTTACATCAGCCATAAGTAATACTCATTGTAGCTGAGTGTTGTTGGTGCCATGTGAAAGGGGGTCTGCAATCGTACTATGGAACCATCACAGGATCAGTAGCAGTGGCAGATATGGTGGTAGCAAGGTCAGTAGCAGCAACAACGACAACAAGAGCACAAATAATCGTAACTCAACTTCCTGCAAACTTGAATGAGACAGTGGCAATAGCACTGTTGGAGTAGACCCTGGTGGTGTGTAGGGCTTGAGGACCCTGAGCGATCCAGCCCAAGCCGAGCCCCTGAGTTTCCGGGAGGCTGGCAAAGAGTGGGCATGGGCGCTGGTGCTTTTGCACGAGTAGCTCTGGCTTTCAGGGGCGGGATGTCTTTCAGCCTCACCAACATCCACTTTTTAAGCGGAACATACAGGGGGCTTTTGCCGGCTGCTCGAGACAATAGAGCCATAGAGTGTCCAGAGCTTCGGGAAGGGTCAATCTGAGGGCTCTCTGAAGGTCCGGAGGTCAAGGGGCTTACGGCTTGGCACGCTGAGGAGCCTAGCGGTAATGCCGCAAGAAAGCCGCGGCAAGACAAGTGGTCTATCTCTCATTGAACTACAGTAGCTGTCAACCTGTCTGGAATCCCTGCTCTATATGTCCCTACGTCGTGCTGACGTGCTACTTTCAAGACTTGACCATGGATAGCGGGTTCCTACCTAGGAAAGCAAGATCCCAATTCTGACAACCACCCACCCAAGCCCTGTGGAACGGGTCTGCATCCGAAGAGAAGAGGGCCATAGGCGAAGGCGAGTTGTCAGCTTTCATTCAATGATTGCATTTTAAGCTCAACAGCCCGGTCCTTCTTGTTGTTGCAACTTCGAACTTGTGCGGTGCTCTGCTGTCGCACCGTGGCGGTGGCTATTCTTGCGCTTGTGATTTGTTTGACTTTCGGAGCGTGGCGAGCCAACCACCGAATGTACTTCACTTCAAAACTCAGAAAGTGTGCAAGGTCCTGCATCAACACTGGCACCCCAAAATGCCTTGAGACAGCCCGCAGCGACTTACGGGTTCCTCAGTTTCAACCCAGGTTCCAGTTTGCCGGCCTGGAGCTCACCTTGCGGCCCTTCCGAGCCGCCCTGAGCGCCTGTGCGGCTGAGTGGCGATTGTTCGGTGTTCGACAAGAGAGGCTGAAGGGTACCGTTGGAGATCGTTTGAGGATGGGTGGTCTCCGGGTTCATTCCTAAATCCGAGACCCGAGCGGTGGCTCCAAGATGCCACATTGAGACGAGCGATGTTCGTGCTGTAGGGTGTGGCATGCATCGGTGAGTCGTAGGTAACAGCTATACCAGTTGCAGTAGACCGTGAGTTTTCCTCGCTTGCCTCAAGCGTGCAGCGGAAGCTTTGGTGTACGAGGGTCACGGAAACGGCTTCCGCTAGCATGAGCGAACTTGCTGTGTGAGCAGGGTTTCCGTCATCCTGCATCCCCCCCCTGCTGCTGAAGTGTGATGATGTGCAAGTAAGGAAAAGGGCAAGCAGTGGACGCAGGCGCTGGAGCTGTCACTGAGCGTCCAACAGCTGAGTTTGGCGTCATGGAGATTGACGGAAATTGCACTTTTTCTACCCTAAGTCTCGCGTCCACAGAGCAGCAACAACACTCAAGCATGGTCGGGAAACGGTGAACCCTTCGGCAGCGTTCTCGGCCCCTCAGTCAAGGATGTCGGGAAACAGATGTCGGCACACCCATCCATTGCACCTCAGGTGTCCATCGTTTAGAGGTTTGCTGAGAGCTGTGGAAATGCCTAGCGATTTTGTTTGAGCGGGCATGTGCCTATACGTGCAGGGACCTGGAAGGCTCCGATCCCCAATGCCTGATAAGACTATGAGCAGGTAAGCATCTTAAGCTCCCAAACACAAACACTACTCCACCAAACTCTCGGCTCTCTTGTTACAATCTCCCCATGCTGTAGGATGCCTCATTTTGCAATTTGCGCATCCCAGGCTGTGCCATCTCGACAAGCTTCAGCTCACCGGCAATGTGCCCCGCCCATACACCAATATTCCAACAGGCTTCAGATGACTAAGAATGTGTTGCGGGCGAGACCGTGTTCTCATCGTGGTGGTTGCGGTGGGTGGTGGTGGTCGTGGCAGCACCAGTAACTAGTAACCATGTCCAGCGGAGCATTGATCTTCTTTATCATCTTCTTGAGGGAGATACGGGCACAGGTCTCCGGTGGTGTCGAGGGCTTTGGGCTTTGGGCGCCTTCGGCTCGGCTTCCTTTGATGTAGGGTGAAACCAGTTCGCTGCCGCGCAAGGACCTTCGAGTTGAGGGAAGTTCAAGTCTCCAGTTGAGACCCACCACGAACCCATGAAGCCCAAGCGAAATACGAAAACCAAAGCTTCGTGATCTCGAGCGAGCAAAGGTGATCACATACAACGCTGCCATTAGCGCCTGCGGCAAGTGCGGCCGTTGGCGGGTGGCTTTGTCTCTGCTGGAGGACTCAGGGTGCCCTGTATGAGTTTGCGCGTCTACGGCTACGGTCAAGTGCATTGTGATGTTTGTTCAGGAAAGAGACCGATCATGACAAGAACATGTGGATGAAGGTGAAGATAATGCTGGTGATTGTAGTGAAGGTGGCATTGGCGACAACAACAATAACGCCGGAAACAGATGCTTGACATAAGCCATCCAGAAATGACCACCACGACGCGAAGATGACATGAGGCTGTTTTTGTTTTGGCTGTTGCTGCTGCCGAAAATGACGATGATGCTGGCGATGGTGACCATTACGTCACTGTATGCCTTCAATTCAGCTTGCTTCTAGTGGAGGTGGGTTTCAGGCACGGTGGTGTTGGTCGTTGCGGGCGTGCAGGTTCCCCGGCTTTCAGCCTCCAACCGTTGCCAGGCAGTGTATCGTCTGGCTGGGCATGTCTCTGTGTTTTGGATCATTCGGGCTGGTGCAGGAGTTGCGGAGCAGTCGGCTAGAGGCAACGGAGGCGGACTTCTGCATCTGGGTCTGGGGAGGGGAAGTACGGCGTAGTGCAAACATACGTTAGCACCCGGCTCAGGAATATGAGGGCAGTTATGAGAATGCGTGCTCTCGGATCCGGGTTTTCGGATGCAAAGCGTGTGATGGGCTCGGCAGTGTGTACAATTTGGTGAGGTTATGGAGCTCCTGAAGCCACACCACAAGGAAAGCCCCTAAACCGAAACTCTTCGAACACCCAGAACATGCCGCATCTGCTTCGTGTGTCCTAGAGACGCCACACCCAGAGCCCCTTTTTGGACGAAGCCCGCATTTGGAATTCAGCTCGGAGGGCCTTGCTTGTGTTTTTTTTTTTTTTTTTTT